TCTTTCCTTTCCCTCTCACCCTCCTGTGATAAAAGCTTCCCCTCTCCCCCACTATATCCCCTCCACCACCATCCTTATGGGCCCTGTCCTGGGCCCCAGCACACAGGGAGTGAACACCTGCCCCCCAGGACCCTGGAGTGGCTGCGAGGAGGCCAAGCGAGACCGGTCCCCAGAGCTCAGGCCCAAGGGAAGCTCTTCTAGGCTCTGGCTCCATAGGCGAGACTGGGAGCAGAAGGGACGCCTTGGCCCCAAACCATCAACCCCTCTCCCTTTCTCCATGAAGTCTCTACCTCCCTCCCTCCCACTGCATGGGGGGAGAGGGGGTGTCTGTGCCCTTGAACCCCAAGCCCCGCCACCTCCTAGGCTATAGCCCAGACTCCTCCCTCCAGTCCCTAGAGCCCCAGGGACAGAACCACAGGGCTCCCACACTCCCCACCCCATCCTGGCCAGCTGGCCCTTAAAGCTGGGCCTCAGCCTGGGAGCCAAGTGCCTGCCAGGAAAGGTGTGCCTGTGTGGGCAGCCACTTTTTTCCAGAAGCCTGGCCCAGCTGGGAGGGACCTGACCGCCAAGCTGGGAAACCCAGGTGCCCAGGCCTGGCAGCCATCAGTGGAGGGGCCCCAGTGCAGTGGGGCCCCAGTGCCGTCCTTGAGAGGGGAGCTGGGGCCGGAGCCAAGGTGGACGACCAGTAGGGCAGGCAACACCAGGGCTGTCCACGTGCATGTGCGTGTGTGTGTGTGTGTGTGTGTGTGCATGTGGGTGTACTTGTGTGTGCCAGGAACACACTTGTAAGTATTGGGTTAAAGTTATGAGGGGGAGTTTAGAAAGATTCATTTTCCAAACTTTCTATAATCCTATGTAACTTGTAATGTAAAATTTTTTTCTACAAGAAATTCATGTCTGTTGTAGAAAATTTGGAAACTGCAGAGAAGCAAATTCCCAGGAATCCCAACACTAACATTTGGAGGTATTTTCTTCTCCTCTCAAAAATATTCATGTATGTGTACATTTTTAAAAATAAAATTGAATCATAATAAATATCCTATTAAAAAATCTGATGTTTTTAACAGTATAGGGTGAACCAACACCATGAGAGGCCACAGTCCCCAGCAGCACTCCTTTGAAGGTCTCTCCAGGCCACTCTCCCCACAGCCCCACCCCCATCACACACACTCACACACACACTCGCTCACACACCCACACCCTCACACCCATACTCACACACACACTCACACACACTCACACATAACCTCACATATACTCACACACATATATACTTACACATAACCTCACACACGCGCACACACACACACACACACACACACACACACACACACACTCATTCCATCATCCTGGCAACTCCAAGGCAGGAGTCTGTCTTGCCAAACCAGAGAGGAAAATTAGGGCCCCAGGAAAAGCAGCTGCAGATGTGCACAGAGCTTATATCTGGGCGGCCCTGGGGCTCATGACCGGGTGAGGCCTGCCAGGGTGGGTCTGGGGAAGGGCCACTGTGTCCTCACCCCGGCCCAGAGCCCAGCCTCCTCTTGCCCACCCTCTGGGAGCTCCAGGGACACCCCCTACCATGTGGGTGGGAGTGTGATGGGGGCAGTTGAGACCCAGACCTGTTAACAGGCAAATTCTTCAGAGCGGGCGGAGGAGGATGGAGAGTCGGGACAGGACGAGAAAGATCCCAGAGGCTGCCCTACAACTTCCCGATGAGGAGTCAGGGGATGCCCCGGGGGTTCGCCTCTCCCCATGCCCACCTCCGGCCCTGAGAGCCCGGGTGCGGCGGCCTCGGTGCTCCAGGAAGCGGGAAGGCTGGGGGAGCCATCCAGTGCTCTGCCAGCCAGCCAGCTGGGAACGCTGGGAATCTCCTCACTGCTCCCACCTGCTTCCATTTCCAACAGTCTGGCCTCTGCCCGCTGACCCCAGCCACACCCCAGCACCATCCCCAGGCCGGAGGGTCTTGGACTGGGATGTGCCCGGGAGCAGCGTCTCTTTCGGAGGCATCCAGGGGGCACGGGTCATACTTACAAAGAAGACCAAGTTGAAGAGGAAGAGGAAGTACTTGGTGACCTTGATACAGGCTGACCCCATCCTGCTGGGCCGGGAGCTCCCTGCGGAGAAGGCAAGTGGTCATCGCGGGGCGGGGCCTGGCAGGGGGCTGGGGAGAGGAGGCGGAGTCGATGCTGGTGGGTGCCCCAGACCCACCGGCCCCCAACCATCCCAGCTCACCACCCCCGCCCCCCAACAACCTCACGAGGTAGGTACTAAGGTCAGGTCCTGTTTCAGGGGACCCGGAGGCCCAGAGAGCTTAGATGACTGACCCAAAGCCATGCAGCAGGGTGTGGGGGGGAGGTGGCAGCTGGGGTCTGGGTCAGCCACTTCACCAGGGCTCAGCCTAGAGGAAAATTACAGAGGAGACCCTCAGGCTCCCTGAGGCCAGAAACCCCGGGAATGGCCACGGCCCTCAGGCCCCATGGGGCTAAGGGAGCCAGCACAGGCAGCTGGGGCCGAGACAGCTGGACTGGGACAGCTGTGTGGGCAGAGCTGGGCTGGGGGGTGGGGAGAAGCAGGCCACTGAGCAGAGGGAACAGAGGGCCCAAGGCATGGGCTTTATCCCTTCTTCCTCCTGCAAGGGTGAAAGGCAGTCCTAAGCCTTGTGACTCTCCCCTGTCCACATGGAGGTCCCCTCGCCCTTCTCGTATCATTTTTGCCAAGCGGGAGCCCAGCTGCGACTTTACACCTCCAGTGACCGGGGTAGGGGAGTTAAGGGGGAGATTTGGGCACAGCATGAAGCAAAGCCTCCAACGAAGCAAAAGACTGCCTGGCAACGAGCACCCCGTCACAAGTGGCATGGAAGCAACATCTGACTAAAGACTTATGGGGAATTCAAGAGCTACGTGGGGAGATGAGACTGAACACTCTTCCAGGCTCCAGGGTCCAAGACCTGGGTCTGAGAAATGCGGGGACAGCAGTGACTCAGAACCAGGGAAGTCTGGCCTCAGCAACTCCACCTGGGGCTTCCCCCAGGCCCAGAGCGGGAGAAAACAAGGGCTTCCCCCCCGTGCCGCCCCCACAACCCCCGTGTCAGGAGATCCAGAGATCTGAGATCCTGAACCCAGGCCTGGCCCCAGGAAGGCCTGCTGGGGATGGTCCACATGAAGGAGAGCTTTGTTTCCTCTCTCCCCTCCCGGCGCAGCGCCTGACAACCACGGGCGCTTCGTAAACGGGCGCGGAGTGAAACAGCAAGAGAGGAAAATCTCTCACCCAAGGAGGCCTGTTTTTCTTTCCTATCAGGGACCTGCTTGAGTCTCTCAGTCCCAAGCAGCTTATAGATAAATCATCATTTCCCCAGGAGAACTCCACCACAGCATTTGAGCGGGCAGCAGCAAGAACGGGACGCTGGCTGCATTCTTGTGAAATTGGAGAAGTGTTGAAACAGTCCTTTGGCAACTGATGTCCGCCAGCAGTGTTGCACAGGCAAGGGAGTTTCTCCACTCTCCGGCTCCCACATCCTCCGCTCAGGCTGGGTGTCCGGGGCAGCCTTGCTGGGCGGCGGGTGTTCAGAAAGGGGCAGTTCTTAGAAAACAGTGAACACCTGGCCTCCCTGTGAACAGCATCTGCTCTGGACATCCATTGGCATGTGTCATCCCTTTAATCCTCACGACCTGCCCAGAAGGTGAGGAAGGTCTTCCTGTCCTGGGGAGCATGGGGTGGGGGGACAGCCTCAGAGAGATGAGGTAACTTGCCCGAGAAACATAGCTCGTTAGGCAGCGGTAACTCCCGAGGTCAAGATCTGTGAAGGGCTGCCTTCTGGGGAGTGGCCAAGGCTGTATAAAGGGGTCTCTGGGGATGGCTGGGATTCCACTGTCCAGGTAGGTGGTGAGCACCAAGGTCACTGCTCAAAGGAGCTCTGGTTTGTGGGCAAGGAGGCAGAGGCTGCTGGGCTGGTATCCCCCGATTCTCTGGGCACCCCTGCTGGCCTCTTGTCACTCACACAAACTGAACTGGGCGTAAAGCCCTTCAGCATCCTACAAGCAAACTCAAGCTCAGAGGGGTGAAGGAGCTTTTGCCCAAGGTCACGTGGACCAGGGAGGACGGAACCCAGTCCTCCTGGCCCCTGAAGCCGCCTCCTCCTCCCCAGAAGGCAGCTTGGCGGCTTCAGACACTAAAACAGGAGCCAGGCAGCCCCATGACTGGCCAGTGGGTTGGCCAATCGGGGCAGGCCCAGAGACTACCTGGGAATCACCTGAGGGAAGAGAAGGGGCTGAGAATCAGAGCCCGGGGTGTGTGGCTCCAGGACCTGTTGGCTAAGATCCAGGATACTAAGTGTTTCTGCCCCGCAAGTGTCGACATTCCCCGCTCACAGAGACAGGGATCAGGAGATGAGCACGTTCTCCATACTGCGCAGAAGCTGGGCGGTTCCACGAAGGGCTGGGAGTCAGCTCAGTCTGGGGACGTATCCAGGTTGCCCCATTATGGGGTCTGGCATCAACCTCAGGGAGCCCATAACCACCACCAAGCCCCGAGTAGACCCCAAAGTCGGATTCAGAGGGCCTGGGGTTACGCTCTAGCTCTGCCCACCCACCCTGAGAGGCCTGAACCTCAGTTTCCTCATCCACAACAATAAGAATAAGGGTTGGTGTAGGGCAGGGATTAGCCAGGTGGGGTCTGTGGATCAAATCCAACCCACCGCCTCTATTCTGTACGGCTTGCAAGCTAAGAACAGATTTTTCATTTTTAAATAGTTGGGAAAAAATAAAAAGACTATTTTGTAACACGGAAAATTAAAATAAATAAGTTCAGTTGTATTGGCACCCAGCTGTATTGTCCACAGCTGCTGTCACAGGCAACGGCAGAGTGGGCCGGTTATGACAAGAGGCCACTGCCCCGCAAAGCCTAAAACATTTACTGCCTGCCCCTTTATGGAAGAATTTTGCAGGCCCCTGGGGCAGGGGATCAGATGGCACACACACAGGTGCCTGTAAAAGGTGGCAAGGATTAGGACTGCCATTAGCTCGGGATCTTGGGGGAGAACGAGCTGGGCGGCAGCAATCGAACAGACAAGGGTTCGAATCCTAGCTCTGCCAACACACAGCCACAGAGAAAGGACTCACAGGGCCTCGTTTCCCAACTGAACTCCCTGTTATGAAGAAAAGTGAAATCAGCGCCTCGCACAGTCGGGGCTGGATGAGCTGGAGCTGGGTAAGTGTCTTTATCGGCACTTGTGGAAGGAGTGAGGGGTGAGCGTTTCACTTGCTCATGAAATTAAACAAAGAGAGAGTCTCCCAATATTGTGCTTTACAGAAACACTAGAAGGTCTGCCCATGCTTTCCTGTGAGGATGTCTGGAAAGCCACAAAACAAGGGAACGAGACGCAAGTACATCTTATTCGGAAAATTCTGGAACAGTCACTGACAGCTCTGTGAGCGGTAGGAAGGAGGTGCTGATTTTATGTTATACTCTATAGCAGGTAAATTGACCATTTCTGAGCAACTCTAATTTAAATTGCCCAAATATATAATTTTATGCCAAATCAGTTTATACAGTGGAATTATTATGCTACTAATATTTTACTAACTCCTGCTCATCCTTTAATACAGACCTCAGACATCCACCTCCTCCAGGACACCTCCTACTCCAGCCACGCTTGTCACCACCATCAGGGCCACACGCTCCCCACCAACACATATGCTGGTTAGGAGCCCTCCCCCTCTGCTTCCTTCCAATGGCACTGGATACTAGAGCAGTTCCTGCGATGGGCTCTGGCATCAAACTGCCTGCGTTTGAATGATGTTCTATCACCTCCTAGCTGTGTGACCTTGGACAAGTGACTTAACCTCTCTGAATCCCAACTAACTCATCTGTGAGAAGAGGAAAATAAAACCTTTTTGGCAGATTTGCCCAGAGATTAAGTTAGATAATGTGGGTAAAATGCATGGCATGAAGTAGGTTTTCAATACGCGGAGGTTACTGTTATAACCCATGATGCTGTACAGTAATTTTCTACTTACTTGCCCATCTCCCCCGCGGACTGTGATAGCTTGAGGGGAGAGACTATGTATTATTTACGAGGTCAAAGTAGGCTCCCAACAAATTTGCTGAATGAAAGACTAGATGCATGGATGGAGGAAGGGATGGAGGGAGAGAAGGAGGGATGAGTACATGGATGAAGGGATAGATGGATGATGGAGGGATGCGTGGATGGAAGGAGGGATGAGTGGAGGGATGGCTGGGTGGATAGATGGAGAGGTGAAGGGGAGGGGAAGGAACTTCCACATAGAACACCAGGACTTTCAGGTACTCAGTCACCCAAAGGGCGTCTGAGATCCACTGCCCCTAAATCAGCTGAGACTCTCTTTTCAGCCTTCTCCTGTCTTCCCGCAAGGGGTGAGGTGGGGGATGTGTAGGGTGAGTACCCTGAGCCACCTCTGCATGCCAGGACCCACAAGCAAGGCTCCCTCGCCTTCCCCGAAGCCCCTGGGGAAGAACCCCTTCTTTAAGGGAACCTCTTGTCTGTGTTGGGGCTCTGTGAGTCCATCCCTGCAGAGTAGGAGGTTGGTTTGTCCTTCACTTGAAGTTGGGGGAGGAGCCCTCCAGCCTGACCCCAGAACCTGGGTGTCCCTGAATAGCCTTGGGGAAACCAAGTGGTGCGGTGGTGCAGGCCCTCTAGGGCCAGAGTCCAGAGGTTCGTGCTCGGCGCCTGCTCTGATGGGACGTGCTGTTTGAGACCCAGCACAGGTGACTGTCCCCGGACTGTCCCCAGACCTCCCGGCCCTCCCGGCCCCCCCGCCCCGGACCTGCCTCCTCAACGGTCAAACAACAGGCTGGGACCAGAGCAGCAGCATTTTCCACGGTAGTTCTTCAAAACACAAGTCCTAGAAGACATGCCCTTAAGAACAAGAGTCTTTGCTGTCACCAAGTTTGTGGAGAGCCGATTCTCCCCGAGAGTCACTGTACATTAGGCACTTAGTGTCTCCAAGACACCTGGCAGTAAACACTGCTGACTTAAAACCATCTTTCACTCAACAGCCTAACATCACGTGGAATACGTATTAGGCTCTTGAGGGTCCCTTGGGGGCCAGGGCTCCTGGACTCTACGTGCTGC